GAGTATGAGGAAGATACGTTGTAGATGAGGCCCGGGAAGGAGGTGGAGGCTGGTTACCTAAAGACTACCTTGAAGGCTGTTGGAATTGTACTTTTATTCTCTCTCTCTCTCTCTCTTTTTTTTTTTTTTTTTTGAGAGATGTTTTATGCTATAGTGCGCATGCACTCACCAGAAAAATGGAGAGAGACAGAGAGATAGAAAGCGAGAAATCACCCCCCAGGGAGGATGGCCACGCCGCAATCCCTTCTCTTCCATTCTCCTCTCGGGATCTTGGACACGCACGCACACGTGCCTGGTGTGAGTTTTAAGCCACCGGGTACGGGACTTGAACTGTGATCGACTACATGGGAGTCCAGTGACATAGATATTTGGCTAACTGCTGGTTTGGGTCCAGGACTTGAACTGTGGTCAACTACATGGGAGTCCAGTGACATAACTATTACACTAACTGCTGATCCCTATTTTTATTCTCTAATAAGATACTTTTGGGAGGATTCTGGAGCAGAGATCAAATATATGAGGAACTCTGGAATTAATATGAAACCTCATAAAAAGAGATACAAAAGATTAAAGAGTGTGCCCTCCCATCTTTACCCACAGGCACTGTCAAGCCTTGCACTGTCAAGCCTTGCACTGTCAAGCCTTGCACTGTCAAGCCTTGCAGATTCATCAGAGGAGGAAGGACAAATGGGCTAAGGGAAAGTTTCTCCTGTCTAAGTAACCCAGTACTGATTAGGCAGAAAGATAGCCCCTTAACTCTGCCCTGAACTAAATCAGTAATAAACAGGGATGTGTGCACACGAGGAAAAAAGGTGAAGTGATGTATGTGGAGATGTTTTCAGTGTATATTATGGTAATATATTACTATGATAACTGAGTAATATGGTGATTTATAACATCAGTACTGGGGTTATCTTATCAGGTAGCTATGAGAAAGTTTCGATAAGAATTGGCTGAGGCCTTAAAAACACAATCTATGCAGGAGCTTCACTGGAGGTTATATCACATAATCACATTAAGTTAGAAGATGAAATCCAGGATTTAAAGAAGGGATTAAGTCAAATCAGAATTCAAGTACTGTAAAATTTAACATGTTAACAGTACATCGACAGCTGGTTGAATAATGTAACGAGTTTCAGGATACACATTTAGGGGACAGCTTTCTTAAATACTTTTGTTATAATCACTGTGCTGTGCTTTCTGTGGTTTTGGTTTCTATTCATCCAGTTTTGTTTGTTCAGACCGGCCTCACAGTTTCTCTCTCACAAAGCTTTCTCTGGCTATTTCGACTTTCATGTCCCTCCTCTTTCCAGCACTTGTCCAGTCTGTGGAGAACAATTTAACAATTTTACATTGCTTTTATTTTTTTCATGAGAGATAACCTAAGTATAAGTTTCTTTAAGGAGGGCGTAATGATATGCATGTCACCTGTTCTTACAGAATTGAAAATATTTTACCTTAATCTTTCGTTAAGAAAAAATTAACTACTGCATACCATGCCAATAATTTTTTCTTTGAGACAGTAACATAATAGAACTTTTATTCCACACTTGAAGCATTTTTAATTGTAGTACTTAGTCTCTTAGAGGGGAATTGTTCAATTAAATACTCAGGTGTATGGAGGGAAAAAGCTAAATTTACCTTCATTATCTAACTAGGACTGGTATTTATATTGATTTATAGCACTTTTCTACCAGAAAGTCTCTGGCTTCAGTTTTTCAGATATGTCATAATATATATCAGCTCGTGAGGATGCTGTTAACGCAGAGCCCGACATAAGCCATTGCTAGGAATGAATCTGTTTGTACACCTTGCTTTAGCGACAGAATCAGTATGTTCAGGTTGAGGCATCAGCTCTCCTGTGATGTCACGTTAGATATATGCAGTTCAATCCCAGAGATGCTGTGTATGTCACAGCACGTGATCATGGTGCACTGGGTAGTGCAGAGAGAAAGTAAGGTGCATGCTTTAGAAGTGGAGAACTGTCTGGTTGCCCAGTGGGACAGGTGAAGCACTGGGGCATACTTTGGGCCTTGTGTTCCCACTTGTTGCCATGTCACACATAACAAGTGTGATAACAAGTCAGTGCATTTTCTAGTGGCAGGCCACCTACCTAAGGCATCAGATTTTTAAAATAACTTTTTTAAAATTTAATATATTTTATTTTAATTTATGTCATACATTCGATCACTATACACTACTTCATGATGAATTTTCATGGTGAAAATTAATAATTTTCATAATTCATGATGAATTTTCCATCATGAATACATTTCACACCAGACCAGTTGAGGATACTGTACATGTTATCATCAACAGATAATAATCCATTTCTGTGTCCCATAAATGTCTTGCCTCTCTATTTTTCTTCTTAATGTCTTTCCTCAAGATTCTCCTCCTTCTGCCAGCCTCTTCCCATACTGTATCCAGTGTCCATAACCATTTTCTATGTTTCAGTACCCTCTAATCTTTCAGTTTCAGCCACAGAGTGCAGTTGGTATGTATTAAATGGAGACATACAGTGTCTCTCCTTCATAGCTTGGGTTGCTTCACTCAGCAGTAAATCTTCCATATCCGTCCACTTTCTATCAAAAGCCAAGGTCATCTTGTTTTTGTTTTGTTTTGTTTGTTTGTTTGTTTTATGGCTGGGTAGTATTCCAGAGTACATGTGCCACACTTTTTCAATCTATTCTTCTGTTCTGGACATTTGGATTATTTCCCTGTGTTAGCAGTTGTGGATAATGCCACAGTAAGCATAGATGTGCAAGCACTTTTCTGACTAGGCATTCTCCTTTGGGTAGATACCCAGGAGTAGGATTGCTGGATCATACAGTAGTTCTATTTGTAGATCTTTGAGAAATCTCCATATTGTTCTCCACAGTGGCTGGACCAATTTACATTCCAACCAGCAGTGTAGGAGAGTTCCTTTTTCACCACAACCCTGCCAGCACTTATCATTTATTGTTTTTTTTTTTTTAATCTTAGTCATTCTGAGTGAGGTTAGGTGGTATCTTTTTGTGGTTTTGATCTGCATCTCTCTTATGATGAGGGATTGAGCATTATTAATATGCTTTTTGGATGTTCATATGTCTTCCTTAGTTGTTTTTTCAGTTCATTTTCTCATCTTTTTATTGGGCTCATCTTCTGTTTTCATGTAAGCTGCTTGAGTTCCCTGTGTATTCTGGTTAT